GTCTGGCGGGTGCATTGAGACTCCCCCATCTGTTCTGTGTCACAGAGGCAATGCACTGGCAGACTCAGGCTGCCCCTGGAGGTCCCTGCTAGCTGCAGTGAGGAAGACCTGAGCGAGGGCTTGGTCTTGGTCCTGTTCGGCCCTTCTGTGCCCTGGGGCAGGTTTCTGTGCTTCTCTGTGCTCCTGGAGCTCAGGTCTCGTCACAGGGTGCCCGGAGCCAGGCCTGAGCCTTCTACAGAAGCAGCCATAGGTCTGTGTCCTTTTTCCCAGGCCTGTGGGACCGTGAGAGACTGCAGGTTGCTTGTCCTCTCCTTGGCAGACCCACCTCCTTCCTCTGTACCCTGCACACTCAGTCCAATAAGCAGAGCTGCGTTTGATGTTTTCACGTTCAGTCTCATCAGGACTATGCTCAGAGCTGCCTGCTAGCCCTGGGGCATGGATGGTGTAGTTTCTCAGGAGAACTGGTCACATGGGCCTCCCAGGGGCTGCCCCACCAGGACACTGGCTGGGTTTTGTCCTTTTGTCTCAGCCCTCTGGGCCATGACAAGTTCCGGACTGGCCTGCACTCCCCTCCTGGCTCCTCAGGGCCTGTGTGCATCTGGGGGCTCCTGCGGGAAGCCCCGGAGCTGTCACCACCACACCAGAGGCATTCCTGGACCACGACATGCCCAGCCCAGAGCTGGGAACCCCTCTGCCCAGTGTGGGACCGCCGTATGAGGTCCCGGAGGCCTGCACACCTCCTTGAGACACAGCATTCTGACATTTGTGTATATGTGTGCTGGTTCTGACTTGAACTCAGGGCTTGGTGGTGCTCTATAACTTGAGCCAGAACTCCACCTCTGGATTTTTGCTGGTTAATTGAAGGTAAGAGTCTAGCGGAAAGCTGGGCACCTGTCATCCTAGCTACTCAGGAGGCTGAGATCTAAGGATGGCAATTCTAAGCCAGCCCAGGCAGAAAAGTCTGTGAGACTCTTATCTCCAATTAACCACCAAAAAATCCAGAAGTTAAAGTGTGGCTCAGGTGGTAGAGGGCTAGCCATGAGCAAAAAACCTAAGCAAGAGCCCAAGCCCCAAGCCCCAGTACTGGTATAAAATAAAGAGAGGGAGAGGGAAAGGGAGAGGAAGAGGAAGAGGGAGGGGAAGTGAGCAAGAAGGAAGGAAGGAAGGAAGGGAGGAAGGGAGGAAGAAGGAAGGAAAGAAAGAAGGAAAGAAGGAAGGAAGGAAAGAAGAAAGGAAGGAAGGAAAGAAGGAAAGAAGGAAGGAAGGAAGGAAAGAAGGAAGGAAGGAAGGAAAGAAGGAAAGAAGTAAGGAAGGAAGGAAAGAAGGAAGGAAGGAAGGAAGGAAAGGAGGAAGGAAGGAAGGAAAGAAGGAAAGAAGGAAGGAAGGAAGTGTTAGGTTTTTAAAAAGAGGTTGCTGAGTAAGAACTGCACCAGCATGCACGTGGTATTCAGGTAAGGGGTAGGTTTATTCAGTAGACCTGCTGAGACCAGGCAAGGTTGGCACTCCACGTGGCTGGGAAAGGCCTGGGAATGAGAGAGAGCTGGGAAAGAAAGGAAAGAGCTAGAAAAGAGCAGAGAGAGGGGTAAGAACAGTAGCACTCACGTGGTATCCAGGTAAGGGGTAGGTTTATTCAGTAGACCTGCTGGGACCAGGCAAGGTTGGCACTCCACGTGGCTGGGAAAGAGAGGAAAGAGCTAGAGCAGAGAAAGAGCAGAGAGAGCTAAAAAAGAAGAGCAAGAGCAAGAGAGCGTCTGGGCCTGTGCTAGGCCTTATGTAGGGTATGGGCGGGGAAAGGTGTGGCCACATCAAATTCAGATGTGACCTCAGCGGATGCAGATGTGACCTCTTCCAGGTGTCCCAGTTGCCTAGGTAACGCAGGTACTGGGTGGAGACTTTGCTGCCAGGAGGGTGGAGTCTGCTAGCCATCCAGGGGTGGACCTTACAGGAAGGAAAGAAGGAAGGAAGGAAGGAAGGAAGGAAGGAAGGAAGGAAAGAAGGAAGGAAGGAAAGGAGGAAGGAAGGAAGGAAAGAAGGAAGGAAGGAAGGAAAGAAGGAAAGAAGGAAGGAAGGAAAGAAGGAAGGAAGGAAGGAAGAAAAGAAGGAAAGGAGGAAGGAAGGAAG